TTACTGTGGATCCTTTAGGAGCACATATTGATTTAGTCTCATAAACCACATTCCAGTCTTCTCCTAAAACTCCTGCAACACAGAACACAGAGCAGCAAAGCTTGACTTATTTGTACATGTAGCTGAATAAAGTCTTTTGCTAGACGGATGACATGCACAGTGTGAAAAGTGTCAAAAGTGTCAAATGTCCCGCAGAAGGGTGTTGCAGAAAAGCAGAAATGTGCAAACTGAACACATCAGCCTTTTAAAGGTGCTGAATTTAAAGCGATTTCCAAATAGGTATAACTGCAGGCTGGAGCAGTGGGGTTGGTGAAAGATTAGGGCGTGCCGAAAGGTAAGGGGCATGGATAAAGGTCTTTCTAATTAGTTAGGGTTAGGGTTTAATTTCTGTTGTAGAATTCAGATAGTTTATGTATGGTAAAAAATAATAATAATTATAATGTATACACACAATTATAACTGTAACAATTATAACTCACCAGAGGCCATCAGCAGAAAGATTAGAGGAAAAGGAAGGATCATTCTGACCTTCATCACCAATCATCAAAGACCTAATACAGAAGACTACAGTTTAGTGCAGTACACTGTAATAATCAAATCTACATATAATCAAAATAATCCCATAAGTATTCATAATCCTATACTCTGACTCTTACTGGTGTTAAATCAATAGCAATAAAGCGTGAAAGCTGAAAAGGTTTGTTATCCCCTTTGGTTAGTTCAAAGTAACAGTTCTGCTTCTCAGAAACTGTCCTGCCGACTCACTAACACCCAAACCTCTGTTAAAATTGTGAGAGACGTGAAGGTGTTAAAACTGTTTGGTCACGTATGTTACGAGCTTGTCTTAACAAGTCATATTCATTACAGTATTCAATGCCTACAAGTTTGCAAATTAAACAATTTGGTGTCTCCTGAACTTATTCATCGAACTTAATAAAGAAGCGTCCTCTTTTATGCACCCATGGTGATGTTTTACATGTTTTTGATCTGAACATCATGTGATTAGTGTTTTTTAAGTAGTTACGTTCTGGATGCCATGGTGTTTTTAAAGAAACAATATTTTATCGCATAATTTGTGACCCTGGACGGACCACAAAACCAGTCCATAAGGGTAATTTTTTTTAAATTGAGATTTATACACCATCTGAAAGCTGAATAAATGAGCTTTCCATTGATGTATGGTTTGGCATACATCAAATATGGCATATATGGACCATATTTGGCCGAGATACAACTATTTGAAAATCTGGAATCTGAGGGTGCAAAAAAATCTAAATATTGAGAAAATCGCCTTTAAAGATGTCCAAGACTGCTTTTGTGCTCCAGGGTCCAGGGTCACATTTATCTCTTGTTTAAAAAAGGCTTGTCCTCAGTGGGGACAAACAGTAAAGATGTCATATGGGGTTCCACTAATGCAGGGCCGGATTTACCTCTTTTCGTGACATAGGCAAAACAAATTTTTGGGTCCCCCTTCCCTATTAATATAATAGGCCTAATATTACCACCCAAGCAAACAAAAATATTTCTTAATCAGTGGAAACCGTTACAGTGTTTTCTATCGCAGTAAGCGCTTGCGTTCAGTCAATTAAAATCGAATGTAGTTCTTAATTTGTTTGAGAACTCAGAAAGACCGTTCCATTAATAGGCACGGCGATGTGGCCACATAACCACTTCGGGAGTGCATTATTTCTCTAATAATTTTAACGGCCTGGAGTCACAATCACACATCAATTGTTCAGATGATTTGTTTCAAGACATTTGACATGTTTCTGTCCTGAAGTGTGTTGAACTAGCTCATTTTTTACGCACCTCATCCCAAACCTTCTGTTGCAAATTCAAAAACGTCATTTTAGAGCTAATAACAGACTCTTGAGCCATTGATATGCAGGCTAACGCAGTTATTAGAGAGAGAGAGCGAAAGAGAGAGAGGGAGAGAGATATTAAGTGCGTGTGAATACTTGCGTCTGTGCGTCTCTCAGCAGTATTCAGCAGCATCTACTAACAGTGAATCTTTAAGTTGAACTGCTTCAAGAACCTCGCTACTGAAAAATGCGAAACTATTTTATTGATAAATTCACGGGGCAGCCGCAGCTCTGACAACAAGTTTCTGTTCGTGTTATATGTGTGCGCGAGTGCGTGTCTGTACTGTGTGTGCGTCTGTGAGAGAGAAGGGGGGAGAAAGAAAGCATGATTTCCGTACATAAAAAGGTTGAAGACATGGAAATAGTTTGTCATTTTTACCACATTGTTGGTTATATTTATTTGCTCAATGTCTTCTGAGGGTTTTGGTTCTTTTACTGTTGTAGATATCCCATAGTATAACAAAAATATTATATATCTCTTCATTGTGTTTGGGCCCCCCTGGACGAGCAAGCATAGGCACGTGCCTAGAATGCCTATGCGTAAATCCGGCCCTGCCTGTATGGTCTAACCTACTCAAAGCTCAACTATTAGAACAGCCCACCCATAAACATTTAGCTAAAATCAGTTTCTTCTCTTTCACATCTCTACATTTTGCAAACTCTTTATCAAATAAACTCTCATACCTTGTTCGCAGCAGCTTTCTTCTCCAGTGCGCAAAGAGCAAATGGTGAGTTTGAAGACAGAACAGACGTGTTAAACAGAATTGGCAGTGGGCAAAACACTTCCTCTTTTTATGCAAAAGATCTTATTATTCATTGTTATGATGTTAATTTCTCTGTAGAATTTAAATCAAAAGTGGAAAGAGTTGGTCAAAGACACACATTACAATCTGACCACCAAATGCAACTTTCAGACAGGATTTTATTTTTTAGCTCTTCTGTCATGGAATCAAAAGCCAGGGCTGCCAACTCTCACGCATTCAGCGCCAGACTGAGCCAATCACAGACATTTCTGTTGATTTCTTGCACACATCTGATTGGCCACTGCATTCAAGTTAGTCAGAATTTACTCACCGCTCAAAACACAAGAGTTCTGCATGCTCGCGAATCCTCTCACAATGTAAATAAGAGGTTCAGCGTAGAGCTTCATTGATTATAGCAGAACTTTGTGAGATCGGGATGAACTGAAGTGACAGCTTTTTAGTGATTATAAAGGAAGTACTCTTTGCGCACTTCACTAATCCATTCAGAATTTGGATAGCACTTTATTTTACAGTCCTGTTCCTCATGTACATACTATATACTTATTATAGTAATTACAATAACTATGTAATAACTAGGTACTAACCCTGGACCTACCCCTAACCCTAACCCTAACCCATGTAGTTACCTTGTATTTCCAGAACTTTCTTAGGTAAGTACACTAACTACACGTACTGCAAAATAAAGTGCAACCAGAATTTGAATAAAAATCTAAATCTCTCATCTCTTATATAAAATGTGAGATTTTACTTTCGAAATGGCAATAATTGACATAAGTGATAACCACAGCAATGGAGAAAATTATAGTTTGTCAAAACAGATGCACATTAAGCAATGTAAATGCAAACTGATAGATTAATACAAATATTTTAATTTTTAATATCAAAATATTTTTGAAATGCAGTACTTATTCTCATTGAGGTCAAAAGTTATTTGTTTTGCAGCATTAGTTTACATAATTTTATGATAAAAACACAGTACCAGTCATCATACCGTTAACTACTAGGTATAGCTGTCAGACAAAAGTTTTTTTTTTTTACAAAACAACCATCATTGGCAGCCCTGCAAAAGCACAGAGTTGTGGGATATCATAAGCAGTGAAGGATACATCCAAAAGTTGATCCGATGTCGGTATCTCAGGCATATTCTAAAGATGAACTGAACATATGTATCAAAAATAAGATCTTATGTTCATCCTCGCACTCTCAGAAAAAAAAGGTACAAAAGCCGTCAGAAATAATATGTAGTATAAAGTCTCATACCTCAGCTTTCTTCACCAGCACCCAATAAAGTGCAAATGGTGCATGTTAAGACTGATAACACTTCCTGTTTCTATGCAAATGCGTCTCAAATTATGAGGTAAAAAACATTGTCATATACTTAAAAAGTTACCTGCTTTAAATGGCCTTTAAATATAATAATTTTGCGCTTTCAATCAGCAAGTCAAATCCAAATCCAAGAACATTGATACATATTTCTGGAGAATGGGGTTAGTTGTCACACTCTTTAGTTTTAGTATTATTATAGTAGGTTTATTTTTCACAAATATTTTTAGCAATTTACTGAACGTGTGAGAAGTACATGATATTCACGACCCAGTATTAAATTCAAGGGAAGACTCTGAAATCACTTAAGTGTTTGTACCTTTTTTTTAGCACATGAAATATGGCAATACATTCTGAAAAGGTGAGTTTTGCCCACAGAGCAGGTGTCAGGACTCTCACCATGATCACCATGTCTGACGTCTTCATGTTCCTGCAGTGCTCATGGTGTTGATTTAGATACACATAAATAAAAGCTTGTGTATTTTACTTTTCAAAATTACATTTAAGCTGCATCTTGAATGAGAAGCAAAATGGCAAAACCTTTAAATGACATTATACAGAGAGAGAGAGAGATCACAGATGCCTCACACTACATGGACCACACTATGAGTTTGCTTGTTTAGTTGGCTTTGGTTTACAAGAGATGTAAGGCATCAGAGTTTTAACTAAGATGGTGCCACATATGCTTAAACAACGCACACTCAAAAACCTGATTAAATTAAACAAAAAATACCAAAGCAAGAAAAAGTCTTATGATTGCCTGGATCTACATAGATCAGTCTAGATCATCTGACTCTGCTGTAAATCACAGATAAATCCATCTCTTGGCTTGCAGCAGATCTGCAAAAATGACAAATACATAAATGAGAGTGAGATCATCACAGAGTATGAATCTTGATGAAACTATGCAGACTTTTAAAGGTGTTGTGCAAGGACTGGACTTTAATGCATGTAACAATACTGTGATCTGTTGGTTTATTATATACTTTCTGGCGCTGTTGCACTTTGCAAATAAACTGACTTCTGTTAAGACAGAATAACTCATGTTTTCTCACTTGGCTTCAGAAGCAGGATGGTGAATTGTAATGCTGGCGTACTCAATCTCCTCCTCTTCAGATTTCTTTGTGTCTGTATCTCTGCCATCTTGGACAGAAGCATTTTCAGCATCTCCGGATTCAGAGGCCTTTCCTGCAGACGTCTGCAACAGAATCATTGTGGCATAAACTGGACATTCTTTTGTGATTTTACTGCCATCCATGAACATTCAGCTCTGCACATTTGTAATGTTTAAACGTGTATGATAATTAACATTGCTCTCTACAGAAACTGTAATTTCATAATTTTTTTCAGGTGATTTACTCATATTTTGAATTATGCATTATGCATTTGTGTATTGAGGTTAAAGGAAATGTTTGTTTGTTTGTTTGTTTATTTAACAGAAAATACAGGTAATTTACTACCAAGACATTATAAGTTTTTTTTTGTACAATATTACCCACTTTTTTTTGCTCAGTGTCCTTAGAGTCAATATTTCTTTTCTTAGTCCTGTTGATAAATATATGAGGACAAATGCATATCTAAAAGTTGATAAAACTGTAAAAATTGTCTTAAACATTACAGAAAAAAAAAAACATTTGTAGATAAAGAATGTCGCTTTAAAATAGTTCCTTGTTTTATTTTCACTGCTCAGACCTAAAAATACCTAAAAAAAAAAAAAAAAAAAGACCATTTTTGATTTAGTAAAATCAGAGAATCAGTCAAGTTTCTGAATGCTAAAATTCATATGTTTAAATATGTTATGTTATATTCTGCTCACCGACCTTTTGTGCACAATGACGATGATGAGAAACAAAAGCCCAAATCCAGCTGCAAATGCAGTAGTGACACAGACAGCAATGATAAACATGATATTCCAAGCACCTAAGAGGAAAGGAAATAACAAGATTGTTTATTTTTATTAAAGTCTTTAAACATAGGGATGATAGATTTAGTTAGGGAGTGGAGACTTCACCCTTTAAACAGGACAAGCACAGGAGTGTCTCTGCATAGAAAATACCTTTAACAGAGACTGAAACAGACTCTGATCTCTGAGATCCATGTTGATTCTGAGCCTCACAATAGTAGCGTCCACTGTGACTGGAGTTAAAGCTGGAGATGCTGAAACTCTGTCCAGATCCAACAGCTGAGCTTTGATTCTCCTTAAACCAGCTGAAGTTCAGAGCAGGAGGTTTTGAATCACTGCTGCAGATCAGAGTCACTGAATCTCCCTCCACTATTTCACCAGATCCATTTATTGACACTGAGACGCTCTTTGGAGGATCTATAAAGACAAAAAGTGAAATGACATGAAGTAACACAAGCTAATAATCAACTAGATCTGATCAAAAGTTAAGGCAGACTTACACATGACATTCACAGTCACAGCAGCAGAGGCCTGAGATCCATGTTTATTTCTTGCAGAGCAATAATAGTTTCCACTGGCCTCAGACTTAATGTCAGTGATGCTGTAGGTGTCACCAGATTTCATGGGGGATCTAGAGGTAAATCAACATGGTTTTCCAGAAGGTTTCTTATCACTATCACCTCAAGATCATTGCAGACCTTTAAGATAACTTTCACCTTACATGCAATTTTTTCTTTGCAGGAAAGATGACTGCCTAGGCTGTCGCGATTTTTACTTCATGTTGTTCTTATATTTTATTATTACAAATAAAAAGAACTACTGCAGTAGAAGTCTGATCTCCATCTTCATTAGTAGATTTTACATCAAACCTCTGTTAATTCTCTTTATGTTTTCTTTATTTTGAGTGGGAAAAGCATCTACTCACACACGACAGTGATGCTGACAGCAGGAGAGGGCAGATGTTCATGTCCTCTGACGGCGCAGCTGTAACGGCCAGAATCACTGCGCTCTGACTGAAGCTGGAGTGTTTTGCTGTGGATCTTTAAAGTCTGTCCATTTTTGTACCAGATGAATGCGTCTGTCAGACTGCATGTGGTTTCACAGATCAGACCGACTGTTTGTTTCTCCAGCACCAGCTGTGGTGCCTTTACCTGAAGAGCTGGAGAAAACACATCTATGCTTTAAATGGCCTTTAAATATAATAATTTTGTGCTTTCAATCAGCAAGTCAAATCCAAATCCACGACCAAGGAATGAAATTATTAACAGAAATGAAGGAGTGAAGTGGATTACCAGAAACTTTAAGTTGAATTCCTGGTTGGCCAAACCATTTTTGTCCTTCAGTATTAGTTACTAATCTGAAACAATACTCTCTCTCATCATTTTCAGTGATGTTGTGCAGTCTGAGGATGGCAGTTTTGTTTTGTCTGTCTTCAATATATTCAACCCTGTCTTTATACTCTGGATATGCTTTTAAATTTATCTTATCTCCATCCATTCTCTTTATCCAGAATGTATCAATTAATGTATACTGCTGAGGGTATGTATACGAGCATGACATGTTTACTGTGGATCCTTTAGGAGCACATATTGAATCAGTTTCATAAATCACATTCCAGGATGGTGCAAAAACTCCTGAAACACAAAACATAGAAGATCAGTGTAAAGCTTGCATTTGTTCAGTTGTAGCCAAGCAATAACATTCAGTTTTTTGCGAAATGAGAAGTGTTTACAAGACCTGCAGGTGAGTAAAGGTTTTGCAAAAAAGCACAAATTATCACGATGTTGCAGAACTCTAAAAACTGATTACTAGGCTGAGAGCATTTCTGATTCTGCTGAAGAGGGGCTGCTTGAGTATAAGGGATATTTAATGTTTAATATTGCAGAAAGCATTTTAAAGAGATGCTGTAACAACTATGACTCACCAGAAATCATGAGCAGAAAGACGAGAGGAAGAGAAAGAGTCATTCTGACCTTCACCACCACTGCAATCTTCACAGCCATAACAAATGAGAAAAGAGTTATAGGTACAGTATACAGGACAGTAACAATCACTGTCACTCTATGTTAGTGATGCACATTAGTATAATGATATTCATAGGTCATTTGTCTTTAATAAAATAATTTATTTGTTGCAATTCATTTGTTGTCCAACAGAGGCTTACTGTATGAGTTGCTCTATTAAAGAGGTTTATTATATCAGATCATGTGTGTCAGAGAGCCACAGACACTTCATGAATATCAGTGATCAGACAATATTTAATCCTGCATGACTCTGGTTTTGTAGTTAAAGTCCAGCATCTAAAAAGGTTTGTTATCTATTTCTTTATTCTTCACATATTTACATACCTTAAATTGACATTCAGATTTGAAATGCACAAGCTCTTCGTTAAATAACATGTAAAAACTTTCATACCTTGTTCGCAGCGGCTTTCATCAGCAGTACACAAAGAGCAAATGTTGAGTTTCGAACATGTTAGACAAGTTAAGATAATCTGTCAGTGATTATAACTTCCAGTTTCTATGCAAATGTGTTTTGTATATAATAAAAAAAAAATTAAAAAAACTTCTCCATATTTGTAAAATGACCTTTACTGTAAATGTCAATTCAAGACTGTTTTATTTGTATGGCATTTCACAGTCATTTTACAGAAGCTGTACATGTATGTCAATGCATGAATGTCTTTATAATGAACAGGAATCTAACATTTAAACAGGAGATTTAGGCTGCATTAAAGGACTTGTTTTGGCCGAGGAAGCATGGTAGCGGGCTTTGTCTTGAACGCACTTCATTCCATAAAACGTTTATTCATTCTTATTTATTTAGCTAAATAATTGACCAACAAAAAAACATTAAAAATAAGATACCAATTATACCAAACGAAACTCGTTCCAAAAAAAGGGATTCTACAAACAAAAACGTATGAAGTGGTCAAAAAATTATGTCTGATCCACTTCCTTTCTTCCGGCGTAGAGTACTGCCGTCCGATTTACCACGCCCTTATGACGTTTACAATTTCCTTTCTTAATTAACAAATTGAACTAAACAAAACACAAACAAATAATATTTAAACATAAATAATATAAAATAAAAATACACTTTCTTAAATGGCTACAACAGGACTTTTGAGATACCAAACATTATTCTGTATAACCGTTGAAGTCCGTGTGAACCGGAAGTTGCTGCCAACTTTATTTCAGTGTAGTGATGTATTTCCATCTGAAACGGAATATTGAATAGAGGGCATGGTTTTATGTTTGCGCTCCTCCTCTCTGTCTCTCACTCATAGCAATCTAACGGTTAGAGGGGTGTGTTTAAGTATATTCTGCCCAAGCCGTCAAACTGACGTCATCAGAAAAGGAATGCCATTCCAGAGCGGAAGTAAATGTTCAGATTTTGATTAAAGATTACAAAGACAAACTATTTTTTTCAGCGGATTAACTTGCACGGATTAATTGTTCACATCAAGACTAGCAATGTGTGCTAGTAAAGTAAATAAAGTCCATTTTGATTTCATGTGGACTTTAAGCTCGCAATGGTGAGCTTCTACAGCCTCTTCCTGTCAAGCTGAAAGCTGAAAGAAAGAAAGAAAGAAAATTAATGAATGAATTCATTCATAAATAATTTGCTTCAAACAAGCTTTTTGTGTTATATTAATTTCCATATACTTATTCAACAGATTATTTGGCATTTTCACACTGACACTGAGGAGCATTTAATTTCTTCTGGCTAAAGGTGAACAGGGTTTAGTTTTTCATGAATGAGGAACGCTTACCGTTACATTGTCATACACAGGTTCAGTCAAATCACAAGCTTTACATCTGCCATGATGAGGTCTGGAATGATTCATCTTTGCCATTAAAAACAGAGCAGAGTGATCATAAATAACTAATGCTTCTCCATGAAACAGTAAACTAGATTTGATTCTGTAGATCACAAAATCTTATTGCAGAGACTCAGTTGCTTGGGTTTTAGTAAAATGAGTCTAAATTGGTTCAAGAATTATCTGACAGAAAGAATGCAGTTTTATATCTCAATGGGATCATTCCTGGTAAAATAAAGGATAATAAAAAAAATAAATAAAACTATTGCTAACAAAATAATTTTTCTCACCCAAGACTCAACTGCACCGTTTCTCTTTTTCATCTACCTGCTTCATATTGCATCATAGTTGCGTTTTTACAACTTAACCAATCACACACGATTGTGTTGCGCTCATAAATGCAATAACCAATCAGAGGCGTTCAGATGAGTCATCGCTGAAATGCCTGTGTTCAGTGCGCGCACGACTGAATTCTGCTCTCTCGCCAATTCTCTCATCATAAACAACAAAGTGCAGATGCACATGCGATGTAAGAAAGAGATTCTTTTCACGGTGTAGACAGATTCAGTTCTTATAATGGGAGTTTTTGGAGTGTGCTTAAACTCGTGCTAGACTGAAGACAGTGATAATGTTCTTTCATAATGTAATTGTTCTTTGCTAGCTTTCTGTATATCATTTTTTCGCTGTTTGAATAACCGTGGCAATAAAAATTTTAAAATGAGTAATTTAAAATGTTTTTATTAAACTGTGATTTTGTTAAATACAAATTTGCATAAAAGGTTTTTGTGCATAGATTACACTAACATTGGGCTACTTTTAGCTTGACCGTGGAGTTGGTTCACCCTCCGCCAAGATTGTGATACACGTCAGTGAAAAATGACTTGAAATAATCCTGAAAGTATGTAAAGGTAAATGTTAAAGACGGTGTGTCCCCTAAAAGCACAAGTGGCCACTGCCTGGTCCCGCAGTGGAACTCTTACCGTTACATTGTCATACACAGGTTCAGTTACATCACAAGCTTTACGTCTGTCATGATGAGGTCTGGAATGATTCATCTTTGCCATTGAAAAACAGAGTAGAGAGATTATAAATAACTAATGGCCAAAAACAACTTGATTCATGCATTTCTGAGTTGCCAGTTCATCGCCATGATCAGTAAACTATAAATAACCAAACCCATTTTCTCACCTCGCTTATGAGTCGCTTATGTTTTTCATCTGCCTGCTTCTCCTTAAAAACAATGAATATAACAGTGGGTAGAATTATGTTCTTGTAGAACAAAGTGTAAACAGCTGACTATAAAATCAGTGGGAAACAAAAACGTCTGTATTACATCATTATGTCCTGAGCGGACGCAACATGAAATGTTTCCAGCTTCAAGCAATTTATCTGTCCAACAGTTACAAACATAAATGGATCAGTGCAACCAATAAGAATATTTGGGGCCAGATTTACTAAACAGAGCAGATTAGCATGAGAGTGCAATCCCAGAAAAGCACTGATGGAAGTGAAAAGTTATGCAGTTGATTTACTGACGATGTATTTCCATAATGACCAATGCAATCTACCAGGATGGGTTCAGACATGCTTTTTGGGCGTTAAATAGTGCCGCAAACACCAAGAAACTGACTACCGCAAACCTTAGTAAATCACCTTGCATGATTCATTTAAATACTCTCCTCTCATAAATGTTGCATCTGAAAGAGAAACTCCTACAAATACACATGCAATAAGGTCACAGTGGCAAAAATAACTCTGTCCATGCCTTTTCATCACAGATTTTTTCACTACCTCTCCGTAAATCCTCACAGTACATAATAATATATAATAGTTTTTAAATACTTCATGTGAGAGATTTTGGACATCTTACCAAATTAGAAAAATCATGATGCCAACTGCAGCTCCACAAATCACTCCAATGATTATGTACAATATCACCAAACGTCCTACAACTGAGATAACAGAGCAAAATATCAGAACACATTCATTTGCTTCACTTTAGAAAGACTAATGTAAGCAAATAAGATAATCTACCTTTAACAGAGACTGAAACAGACTCTGATCTCTGAGATCCATGTTTATTCTGAGCCTCACAATAGTAGCGTCCACTGTGACTGGAGTTAAAGCTGGAGATGCTGAAACTCTGTCCAGATCCAACAGCTGAGCTTTGATTCTCCTTAAACCAGCTGAAGTTCAGAGCAGGAGGTTTTGAATCACTGCTGCAGATCAGAGTCACTGAATCTCCCTCCACTATTTCACCAGATCCAGTTATGGACACTGAGACGCTCTTTGGAGGATCTAGAGGTAAATCAGTATGGTTTTAATTTTAGTCATATTTCATCTTCATTTGTTTGTTTGACAAAAAAATTATTTGTGCATATAGCACTGATTCACTTCCCCCGATTTGAACTTGAAGCAAGAGTAATTACAGCATCCTCCAGCAGGGGGCCGACTAGACCACGCTAAACAGCCAAACTGCTCTCTGATTGGCTGGGATTTCAGATTAAAGACACACAGGCCACTCCTCTAACTCTTTGATGCTGTTTAGAGCAGGGGTTCTCAAACCTCTCCATGAAGTACCCCCAGCACTGCACGTTTTGTATGTCTCCCTAAATCTGACACACCCACTTCAGGTCTTGCAGTCACCACTAGTGAGCTGATGAGTTGAATCAGGTGTGATAGATGAGGGAGACATACAAAATGTGCAGGGTTGGGGGTACTCCAGGACAGGTTTGAGAACCACTGGTTTAGAGTCCAGGGTGGAGTGAAAGAAGACCTACTCACACACGACAGTGATGCTGACAGCAGGAGAGGGCAGATGTTCATGTCCTCTGACGGCGCAGCTGTAACGGCCAGAATCACTGCGCTCTGACTGAAGCTGGAGTGTTTTGCTGTGGATCTTTAAAGTCTGTCCATTTTTGTACCAGATGAATGCGTCTGTCAGACTGCATGTGGTTTCACAGATCAGACCGACTGTTTGTTTCTCCAGCACCAGCTGTGGTGCCTTTACCTGAAGAGCTGGAGAAAACACGTCTATTGTCTGATATTTTGTACAGTTTTGGCAAACGTAAAAGGTAAGATCTTTCTAAGCATGTTCTAAAACTACTAACTTTTGTTAAATAAATAATAGAAATAAAGGATAGAAATGGATTACCAGAAACATTAAGATGAATTCCTTCTTTACCAATCCATTTTTTTGTTTCAGTTTCAGTTACTAATCTGAAACAATACTCTCTCTCATCATTTTCAGTGATGTTGTGCAGTCTGAGGATGGCAGTTTTGCTTTTTCTGTCTTCAATGTATTCAACCCTGTCTTTATACTCAGGATATTCTTTTAAACTTTTGATCTCTACATCTGGCTTCTTTATCCAAAATGTATCTATCAAGTTATACTGCTCAGGGTATCCGTATGAGCATGACATGTTTACTGTGGATCCTTTAGGAGCACATATTGAATCAGTTTCATAATTCACATTCCAGTCTTCTCCAAGAACTCCTGCAACATAAAACACGTAGAAGATGAATGGCCAAGCTTGAATTAATTGTTAATACAGCTAAACAATATCTATCAGGACGGATAACTTGTGGTGTGAGAAATGTAAAAAGTCACGCAGAAGGGTGTTGCAGAAATAATCACACTGACACAGAACTGTGAAAACTGAAAAGCGCATTTAAAGGTGCTGTCAGTTATTTCAGCCAATTTGCTAACATAAGCACACACTCTCTCCAAAGTCCCGCCCTCTAAATATCAGCCAACCCAATGTCAGCAAAAATGATTGACAGGCTGAGAATGTTTCTGATTGGTGGGCCGTTCCCTGACTGAAGAAGTGTAGAATGGATACTCAATACATGCTTTAAAAACACTTACTTACTTACAGTGCTATAACAACTGTGACTCACCGGATGTCAAGAGCAGAACGTTTAGAGAAGGAAGAAGAATTATTCTGATGCTCACCACCACAGGAACCATCACAGCTCTATAAAAAAACGCATCCACTTCATAAACACCAAGCCTAACAATAAAGCTTCTGAAAAGGGTTTGTTATCCTGTTTGGTTAGAAACAACAAAGGAACAAATCTTAAAGGGGTCATATGATGCGATTTCAAGTTTTCCTTTCTCTTTGGAGTGTTACAAGCTCTTGGTGCATAAAGAAGATCTGTAAAGTTGCAAAGACTAAAGTCTCAAATCCAAAGAGATATTCTTTATAAAAGTTAAGAGTCAACCATGCCTACCTAAAACGGCTCATTCTAACACGCCCCCACATGTCTATGTCACTGTGTGGAAATATTAGCATAATGCCGCCCAAATGTGCACGCAAAGAAAGAAGGCGTGGTTTCAGGAACAGCAGTCGTGTTGATGCAGCCATGTCAGGGAGACGTGCGTTTCAGTACGAAAGTAAAAGCACTTTATTTGGCCTTCCGGAAGTAGATGCATTTAGGAATCATTGGTTAAGATTTATTTACAACAGAACAGCACAACCCAGATGTTCGAATTTGTGCAATGCATTTTATGGACGACATTTTATGGAACCTAGAAGAGTACAAGGCTGGTTGTGCACAAAGGCTATTTCTAAAAAAAAAAAAAGGGTCAATTCCGACTTTGCTATGACAATCTGGCACTTCTGAATCAGCGACTGTAAGTATGTTTTGTTATTAGTTTAAGTATTTGCTATTGACT